CGAAAAAGCCTTCCTGCATTCTGGTCAGAGCATAGGTCAACCTCCATGGGGCCGGGAACACACAGCCCCGAGGGAGGTCATTGTGTGGGCATGAACAAGATGGAGAGCCAAAGATGGAGTCAGTATTGTCAGCACTCCTACACCAGTCAAACCAGTTTGGAAACTGGCAGAAGAGTTGAATGAGTTATGCAGCTGGGCGCTCAGACTCCACGAAATCTCTGAAACCTGGGAGACACCACCTGCCGATAGTAGTTCTGGTTTGGGCGATTCTGAGACCCCAAACTAAAAGAATTTTATTCTTTTTTAGTAGGTGTAGTCCTTTCTTAATTTCAACTCATTAAAAAAAAATGCTTTGTGTTTAGGGCAGTGAAAGGAGAGCTGACATCACAATATTTTGCATCAAAAAAGATGACAGTGTAAAACAACTTTTAGCAGACAGTGTTTTTGAAAGCAACTTGTAAAGTATTTACCAGATCCTAAATTTGCACATTTTGCAGACTTGGGCATATATATTCTACTCTCAAAATAGTTTTGTTATTATGCACAAATAAAACAACATGGGAGCTTTTTAATAAAGAAATTGCATTTCTAATGATCTGTATTTGCATATGATAAATCTCCAGTCATTATCACACTCTAAAATATTAACATCATCAAATATCCAGTTGGGTTCAAATAGCCAAATGTCATTTTTTTTTACACTTAGTTTGGTTCAGGACCCAAATATGTTTTTTGAAGGAGTAATAAAAATTTTGGCAGTTGCTAAATATCTAGACTTCTACAAATTCTGATTCTTATGTATTAGTTTTTCCTAAAGTACAATAATAATCGTATCATAAAGAAGTTATATATTCAGTCATTTGGGTAGCATTATTAAGTATCTTTCTTTTGGTAATTGAATACAATTTTTTTTTCTGTCTCTGCCACTAAATAAAGGTATGACCTTGGGCCATTCACTCAACCTAGTCAAGAAATCAGTTTCCATCATTGTTTTCCACCATTCCATTCATTTCCATGAATTGACTAGTCAACATTCTTTTATCGAGAGCCTAGCCGGTGGGAGGCAGGACAACACATGACAAAGAAGAGCTTTGACATCCTGCAGCTCTGGACTGGAGCCCTGCCACATACAGGCCATTGAGCTAAGTTTAACCTCTCTTGCCTCAGTTTCCAAATCTGTGAAATGCAGAGAATAGTTACCCATACCCAGAAAGTTTTTCATGTGTGCACATAATGATGGGGTATGGGGAAAGGTGGATAAATTGAGAAATTATGGTTATAGTGCTTGACACATAGTAATCCAACAATAAATAGTAAATAGAGTTAGACTGTCAACCGTTTGGGACAGGGTTGAGGGGATGAGGCCAGAAGGAAAGGCAATGGTTTGAACTACCTCGTCTAATGAAGTGGCCCTTAGCCACACATGGCCACTGAGCACTTGAAAGGTGGCTAGTCCAAATTGAGATGTGTTGTAAGTAAGTACTCTAGGTTTCTAAGATGGAGTATGAACAAAACCCATAAAATATTTCATTAATAATTTTTAATCTTTAGTATGCATTGAAATTATAATATGTTGGATATACTGGGCTAAATAAAATATGTTATTAAAACAGCACTATGTACACTCCCCAACCAGAGCTCCCTGTATTGTAGCTATCTGTTTATTCATCATTCTTGTGTTTAGCTCAGTGGTCCTCAAAGTGTGGTCATAGAAACAGAAGACCCAGCATCCCCCTGGGATCTTGTCAGAAACACAAATTTCTGGGTCCCACCTCAGACCTACTGAATCAGAAACTCTGGGACTGGGGCCCAGAAATCTGTATTTTAACAGGCCCTCAAGGTGAGTCTGATACTTATCCATTTGAGAAACACTGCTACACTGAGTTTCTGGGCTTGGGACCACATCCAGTTCACTCTGCATTGCCGCTCAGCCCAGTGATTATTTGTCAAATGAAAAAAATGGATGAATGAATCCTGATGACTGTGGGGCCATAGGAGGATATCCAGCAGGGGAATGTCATGGTCTGATTACCTTTTAGAAAGTTACTTTTGCAAGCTGTGTAGAGTATAGATTATAGGAAGAAGTTACTAGAGGCAACTGAATTTGCCTATTGGAAAATTATTATTTGAAAAATCTAAATATATTATTCAGGTGGAAAAACAGGTAATTATTTTCAAAAATTATGCCTTGCTTTTCAAAGTATTTCTTTTAAAATAACTTTAAAATGTGTAATTCTATTTATATATAGTGTTTTGTAGATTTGGGGGGAAGTAGACATACCTATATGTAAAATTGGTCAATAAATATGTTCTCCCACGAATTATGATTTCATTTTTTTAAAGAATAGCTACAAATGTCTTACACATATTAGTATTTGTGTGTTTTCTAAGGATGTATCACAATCCTGTTTAGATTATAAAAGTGAAATTTTATAGCAAGTGAATATATTTAAAATTATTTAAATTTTAATATTAACATAGAAATAAAAATAATTTCATGTTTGACTGTATATTAGTATAGAGACTATATATTATTTATCTTATTTTAGATTGAATTGAAATGAAGCAATCATCTAGAAATATTTCAACTAGAGGCTATTAATGCTCAAATTAAAAGAAAAACAAATTGATATTGATATATAGAATAAAGAGTAAAGCAATCCCAAAGACACATGACCCTTAGGAAAATTTTAAGGCTGCAGAAGCACCAATGTTGTTCCCTATCACATACTCATCTTCCATCAGCAGATTCTTTTATCCCCACAGTTGGGAAGAAATTCAACCAACTTAAATGTGGGCACAATAGTTGGACCTTCAACTCAGGTAAAACTTTCACATATTCTCTTGACCTCTAAATAATCTTCTCTACAAATCAATGTTTCCATATTGGTTCCACCACTTGGAAGACACTGTGAGTTGTCTACCTTGTAGTAGACCCTGCTCCCCTTTTTCCTTCCTTGCTAATAATTGCTAATAATTCTTATTTTATAGCAGTAGGTGCCGAGCCCTGGGAGCAGCGTCCCAATGTTCTAAACCCATCATGGTAGACCCCTTTACTCTTTGTCTGCAGTTGTTCAGGAAGTGAGGACATGACCCCAAGTGATGGTCAATGAGACATATTGGGACATCTGATGAGGGTTTCTGGGAAGTTTTTATTCTCTAGTAAGAGAAAGAGAGCTGTGAGAAGGTCTCATCCTTTTATTTCTTCTCTTATAAAGGATTGTGTCAGCCATCATGAAACGACAAGGCTATCCAGGTCTTAAAGAAATATTGAGGTGTTAAGGGTACAAACTTGCAGCTAGTAGTAAGTCCTAGATATCGAATGCACAGGATAGAGAATATAGACAACAATATCGTATTATAATCATCAAACTTGCTAACAGACTAGATCTTAATTGTTCCAACCGCAAAAAAGAAATAATTATGAGACAGGATGAAGTGCTAACTATCACTACAATGGCACTCATATTATAGTATATAAATGTATCAAATCAACATGTTGTACACCTTAAATTTACACAAATTATATGTCAAATATACTTCAACTAAAAATAATAAAATAAAATAAATGAATAAATAAAAGAATGAGGCTAGGAAGAGACTAAGGGTCATGAGGGAGGGGCGATTATGCAACCTGGAGTGGGAGATACTGAAGGGCAAAGGGGGGATGAGAATGATGGGTAGAGGGAGAAGAGACTTGGCAAAGGGGAGACTACAGACAAAGAGTAGGAGGGGCTAGGGATGGGATGGGTGTGGGCAGGGTGGGGGCCTGGGATTCTGAAGGTGCTAGAACCCTTTAGTGCTGATTTCCTCCGGTTCTCTTAGGCCAGACAATCCACCCATTTTTAGATAGTTGAAAGAAGTAAGTTCTTGGTAAGTCTGTAAACTTGGTCCATTCAGCCAAATGGTTGTGGTGTGCTCTATGCTAACTCTCTTCTCTTCTTGCATCTAGTGGGAGGCTCTTCTGTACCCAGGCCAATTAAAAGATTTGGTAAATTTGGTGAATTGGTCATTCAGAGAAAATGAATAATGCTGAAGTGTTAAAGTGTTGACCAAACAAGAAGACTTTTAAAAAGATAAAAAGGGAAAAGAATAAACTGGGAAATTTCCATGTGAAAAGCTGACATTTTCATTATATTCATAAGAATATATTTCGAAAGATGAATAGTGAGGTTCAGACATTTTCAATTGTTTATTGGCTTTTTAAATGTTTATTCATGTGAACTGCCTATTTATATACTTTGTCCATTTTTCTCTTGGTTTGTTTGTCTTTTTTTATTTGTATGTGCTTATGTATTGTGGATATCAATCCTTTGCTCATAATATATATTGCAAATATTTTCTCCCATTTTACTTCTTGGCATTTAAGCCTTTAATCCATTTCAAGTTTATTTTGGTGTCTGGTACAAGACTGGAATCTAATGGGATTTTTCTGTCTAGAAGTTAGACAATTTTCACAACACTCTTTGTTGAGTAATCCATCTGGTCCCCATTAATCTGCAGTGCTTCCTTCAAAAGTCTCATTTGTGTCAGAGGCCATTTTAGGACCGTCTATTGTGTTTCAGTCAGTTGCTCTGTAAATTCTTGCACACAGGTTTAGTTATTACTGTCTTATTATGTACTTTTTTGTTCACGCTTTTCAAAATTTCTCAGTTGTTCTCCTATTTTGACTACTATGATAGCTGCGATTTAAGGTCATTTTGTCAAATTAAATTAAACTTTAGCGTGTAGGGAGTGTGTTGTGGTAGATGAAAGATAAGTGATAGGGATTTTTGTACTGCATTAATCCTCGGTGCAAATGTGGACCATGCCAGGCTTTCCAGTCAGAAAAACTCTCATTGTGGACTTGGAAGTCCTTCCCACCCCCTGGGTCTCCAAGCAAAACAAAGCGAGCCAACGCTATTGAGGGCTCATCCATCATCTTTTGTTTGTCAGGCTTGTTACCAACAACCATGTGAAAAAGCCCAGGCTCTTGGTGCTCACGCCTGTGTTCTCCACAGCGTGTTTTGCAGAATCTTCTTATATGTGTCATCCTCTTCTACACCATGTACTATGCAGTTCTGGGCATGTGCTGCATGATGTTCAAGTAAGTTGCCTTCAAGCAAAATTAAAAAGCTAAGAGTGAATATGAAAGGAGTTTATATTTGATACTTGACATGCCTTTATGGAATAGAAGATGCAATGTTTTAAAAATGGTGTATTTTTGTACCTTTTTAAAGGAAAGATAGCAAATGTGCCATCTTTGAAAATGATCAAAGCAACAATCATGAAATGATGTGGATAGATAGGACCAGACAGGACCGTTCTCTTACTTCTTCGGAAGATGGTGATGGAAAGAAAATGAAGCTCTTACTCCCTGGTATTGAAGCAGAGCAAATTTGAATTATAAGGGAATTTAGAGATAATCTATATCAAATTTAAATATTTTCTGATATGTACTTGGAAATATCTCTTGGACCCAAGTCAGGAGACCTAACTTCTGGCCCAGGTTCTTACTAACTTTCTGGGAACATCTTAACCAAGCCATAGAGCTTCTCTTAATTGTCCTCATTTGTCAAATGGAAGTAATTGATCAAAAGAAGGTTATTATGAGGACAAAGTAAAATGTGTATTTTCAGTGATGTTTCTATGTAAGTGTGAGGCATTTTTTTCTTCAGGTAATTTTTTTGTCTGGCTATGGTTGACTTTTCCCTCTACAAATTTAGGTTGCCAATACATTGATTGCCTTGAAATACATCATGAAGATTTACAAATAATTTCTAAGAAGTCGAATGTTGATATAATTTAATTTTATTATGCAAGTGAGGAGTTAGGACCCTTTGATTTCAATATGCAAATTAGTAACCAAAAATAATTATCCCAACTTTTGCAATGGGAAGAATGTTATTCAGCATGCTTGCAGGCAAACCCACTGAGGAAGCATCTGCTGCTCACACACAATCTCAGCTGTTCCTGGGACTGGAGATGGTGAGGCCATGCCTGGAGCAGGGAAGAGCTAAGAATCTTCAGGGCTGATTTCAGGGATTTGTAGTTAATGTGAGTCAGAGGAGAGGAATTTTAAGTTCTTGGGCCTTAAAGCTCCAGGAGGCAGCTAACTGATTGACCAGCGGCACACAACTACAAACAGGCACAGTAGAGGGTGTGTATTTATAGACTCAGATTTTACAACAGGAAGAGAGCCAAGAGATTAACGTTTTCAATTTACAAAAAAGACACTGAAGTTCAGCTCCAAATGGAACTGACTTGCCCAAATTCACAGTTTCCCAACACCATCAGGTTTGGAACCTGGGTCTGGTTTAATTCTGTGCGGATGCTCTTGCCACAGGATTAGGTTGCGTTCTCCTCCCACATTTGATGGAAAGGACTTTCAAGATGACAGCTAAGGGTTAAAACACAATGAAGTCCACTTGGGGGACTTAACTGGACAAATAAGACAATGTGGATAAAAAGATTATTTGGCTGCCATGCAAGTTAGCCAGCTTCTAAATGTGCCACAATGTGGGAAAAGCTAATGACTTACCATGTGAAAAGCGATATTCAAAGCCTTGATGTGCGAAGTTATGAACTGCCTCCCCCGGAGTAAACTATTTTCATTTGCAACATCTTCAGGGTGTATGAGTTGGATGTCCTGGCACCATTTGATTTCAAAACAAACCCCTCATGGCTCAACACAAATTATAAAGGTAATTGGTTTTAATTTCCAATTTTTGTCAATTAGTGAGTTAAATGCCTCAAAAAACAAAATAGTTTTTGTTTTATAAAAATTTACAGTATATCAGGCCTTCCTCTCAGCCATCTGTATATCAGACTTCAAAAATTAATGTGGAAAAATGCCATCACAAATTTTAAAGTGGCTATTCATGAAAGATGGGATAGGATGGAACAGTGGAATAATTGAATAGAATTATTATATATTATATATATATTTATTTGGTGATCTTGTAGGTAAATTTTTTGCACATTAAATATTTTTCAAAGATGAGGAAGAAGACTGATTTAATATATTAATGTAGAGAAATTCTCATGAGATATAGCATGGAAAATGAAGATGACAATTGTGTTTGTGTAGTGTAATTATTCATTTTTGTAGAACAGAGTAAAATACATGGTGTCAGTGGTAAGAAATCTGGAGAATTATGCAACAAACTGTTCTCTCCCAGCTGGGATGACAGAGGACTTTCATTTTCTGCTTTGTACATTTCTGCTTAGTTTGATTTTTCTTTCGAAAATAGGAAAAAAAAAAAAAAACATGTTCCAAAGGAAAAGTAATATGTGAGAGTACACTAAGAAAAAATTTATCTCTTTTAAATTCATAATTTTGGTTGAAAAAATAATTATTAATTAATATCTACTACATTCATAAGCCTTATGTATGTTAATAATAACAACTACTTGTATTGAATATATGTCAAACATACTTGTTTTGGGGGGATTTGTGGTGAGTTCATCTCATCTTTAGAAAAATGAGATTTTAATGTTATTTTCATTATAAAATAATACACATAAATTAATGAAAGCTTATAAAATACCTATAAGTAGGGAGGAGAAAAAGAAGAAATTCAATCACAAACTTACTTTCTAAACATAATTATTCTCAACAGTCTGTTAAATTTCTTCCTACTCTTTTTTTTTTAATGAATTGTGGATTTTTTAAATGTTACAATTCTTTAGAAAACCACTGGACATGTTTTTTTTGGAACAAATATGCAAATATACAAAAATTGCCTCAAGCCAGAAAAACCAGATTTTTGAATATGACTTGTACAGGAAACATGGTCAGTCAAAATTACTGAATTCAAATTAAAAAGCTTTAGAACAACCCCCTCAAATGGGTAACCTTGTTTGGTGCTATTATCGACTCAATTTTGGGTAGACAAAGAATATGTTAGGAAAAAGAGACTTTCATTCTAATGAGACACAAGAGGTCCAACATTCTATCTTAACTTTCTCTTTATGTGCTTTCCTATTGAAGATAGAATTAACTTATTTTCTATCAAAACTGTCCACAATTGATAAGGAAATAGTCACAGTAAAGAATTAAGTAAGGGCTGTATGTGTGTTTTTTGGGAGGGTATTTAAAACTCAACTGTTACTATTTAATTCTTGCCTTTGGGTTAGTCAATGAAAGATAGGAATGACACAGCTTATTGGAGAGGCTGTGTTTTTACATAGCGGAGATTAGTGAAAATCCCCAGGATGCCTGGCACAGTTTATATCGTTCTCTCCTCTCACAAAACACTAACATTGTACAAAGATATCAATAAAACCTTAGCCTATTAGATCTTTAATTTTGGGCTTGGGGAGATAACTGCCATAACTCTTCAAAGTTGTTACTTTGAGAATTTAGACTTTAATCTTGGAGATAAAGTATAAGAGTAATCTCAGAGCCTTGGGCATGTAGTTAGGGTCAAGTTTCTTGTCTGTTTCAATGATTTTTGTCACCCAGGAGAGTAGGTTTAGCAAGGACACTGGAAAGTTTAAGCCTAGTTAAAACATTTTGATTACTAATATCTTTCTTTTGCATAGCAGAAAATAGATTACAAATTGCTTTCATTTTAAATTAAAATCCTCCCAACAATTTCTTGAGGTAGATAAGATAGCACTCCATTTCCCAATTATGGAGAAAAAAGCAAGACTGACCCAGAGGTTAAAATTGTACTCAAGGTTTTATAACTCCTAAGCTCTAAGGCAAGACTATAACACTGGTATCCTGACTTTAAATTTTGTACTACTTCTTTTAAATCATGCTTTCTTTCATATTATAAACAAAGCATAAGCCTTTTTTTTTTATCAATATAGGCAAATACAACTTGTTCAAGACTAAAATCAATGTCTCCAAGCAGCTGCAAGTTAACCTATAAAATCTGTCAATGCTGATAAAAGAGGCATCTTTTATTTCGCTAGAATAATCTGGAGGCTCTGTGAGCCACTGACAGAGGTAGAGGTGGACATGTGGTGAGAAGAGGTGGGGTCAGTGTGATACAGCAATGCAGTTCCTTCCACAGCCTCGATTTTAGGGAACAGGACATGCTGAACTGAACTTTGTTCCCATATGATAAAAAAAGGAGTTGGTATGAATTCGCCCTTCAACTTTTTGAAACCCGGTAAGTGAAATTAAACCAAATTGAGGAGGAGAAAGTATAAGGCCTTTCAAAAGAATGGCACTTGGGACTTGCTCACTTGGTTAGTGCCTTGTTCAGCATGAGACAATCACTGGCTTGCTGGTTAATAAATTACCTCTGCATGATATGATATAATGTGATTATTTTACATTTTGCTTTGAAAAATGGAGAGTTTGCCTGTCTAGAGTCATTGACTCCCGAATTTTAAGAACATACTAATCATTTGCTGAGTTTTTGTTTAAAAAGAAATGAAAGGTAATGTTTACAGAAAGTGATATCTTTACAAAGGGGCCTTGATGGTATGTCACATGTATTTGTCACATATGTTTGACGGATCTCTCCTTCGAAACCACTATAGTCTTAAAGATCCACATCAAAGACAAGAAGCAAAAGGTTGACCCTTCACACGTTCAAGGCTTTTAGAGATTTGTGGTCCTGACCTGTAAGTAACTAGCTCCTTACACATGTTTGGGGAGACCACTCTGAGACAACGGGGTGGGTTTAGAAGAGTGCCTCCATCCACACAAGTCCTTTCATCCATTGTTACCAGTTATGTGTCCCAGATGACTATCTGAACATGCCATTTTATTATAAAGTCACGAAGGAACTCATTTCCAAGTAAGGCAATAACTGGGACCAAAGAAATATTATAAGTCATTGAACTCTTACATTTCTTTTTTTCATTTCTGAAAACTCAGAACTGAATTTTTCATTAGTTTTTAATATATCTTAAACAGAGAGTTGCAATCCAATTACAGATCAGCAGGTATTGGTTACATGGTAACTTTTCCTTACTGTATTTTACCTTTAAAGTGACAAGTACAAAGAATGTGAAACAAATTATATACTGTTATTAGAGACAGAATATGTTAAAAAGTTCTCATCCAAATTTGGGAATTGTTAAGAGATGGGATATTTTGAAAATTCTTACCAAAATTTCTTCGCAGAGTAAGTTGTAATGGTCCTGTTACTAATTGTGTTTCAAAATTGTTAGTTTCTCTAGTTCCAAATAACTATATTCTTCATTCTATTTGCAGTTCTTCTAGTCTCAACACAGGTCACCTACTTTGTTTGCGGATTGCTTTTCGTTCTGGTTGTAGAAGAATGGGTCTGGGATTATGCTATTTCAGTCACTATTCTTCATGTTGTCATCACTTCCACTGGTAAGCAAAATAAAATAAAGGAAACAAAGAAAATATATTAAATCTGAGTTTGTACCTAAATTGCTTCACAAGAGTAAAACTTTGTTATATGCATAATGTCCTCTGATGGCTTAAGCATAAAAACTGATGATGCTAGTTCTCCTTCCCTCCCCTCACTTCTCCTCCCCCACTAAATTCTTCTACCACTTCCTGGGAGGGGTTTTGATTGGCTACATCTTCTGATTCAAAACTACTGAATGTAGATGTTTCTTACTCTCCTGTCATGTTCAACTTGTCATCAGCTTGTAAAGGGTTTGCCTCCATTCAGAATACTCTTCTTCCAAAACCCTTTCTTGAGGTGGAAATTGAACAAAGGCTAGGAACAGGGCCCTGAGGAAACCCATCCTGGCAGGCTTGCAAACTTCCCCATAATAGTTATTCTACCAAGAATACCACATTCTTAAACTAAGGGGTTCTGTTTCTACCTGTGATCTTTGGAGTCAAAAGAAAATGAATTCAAATTCCAGTTCTACCTTTTTAATTAGGTGTGTAGTCTTAAGGGAAGTCACAACATCATACACATTAGTTGCCTCCTCTATGGAGCAGGGAGACCTAGGGACCTTTTGATGAGAATGAGAAATTGTCTGACATAGTGGCTAAGCATATAATAATTACTCAGTAAATGACAGTTTCATCCGTTCTTTCATTCATCCATTCAAAATTTACTCCTCTATTATAACTTTTCTCCTTTCCCATCTTCCATTATTAAAAAAAAAAATACTAGTCAAAGAATGGGTGGGAATCAACCACAAGTTATAATACAAAGTTATTATTATTTATTAACAACTTAAACTACTCTTATTTTTTTTTCAGTGCTGTGATCTACTAATGACTTTGTCAGTCTCCAATTTAAGAATACACAATTTCCAAATGAATTGTTACATCCTAGCGTCACTGCTTTTAGAGAATGCTAGTGTATCAGTCTCCTTGTCTCCAGACACATGCCCTCCCTTAGTAACTTTCAGAACCACTAAACCCCATATCTCAAATTTTCAATTTTACTTTGGGGCTAAGTTTACATGGAAGACAGCCATGGGATAGTTGCAAAAGGGCTCTGGGTCATAGGGTGGCTGAATCTTCAAGGTTGAGATAAGCAATATGTACCAGACCCAGAAAAGTTACAGGGTAATTGTCTAACATATGGCACATAGAAAATACTTAAGAAAATACTTTAAGTTGAATAGAATTGAGTTCAGGGTGCAGTGGCTCAGAACTCCAGAGAAAGGCAGGTATCAAGGATTCGGGATGGCCTTAGGACCATCTGTTACATAACACTCAAATCAATTCTGTGAGCTGACCCAGGAAACTGACAGTTCATAACATCTTTCCTAGAAGAGGAGTTTCAGGTATCTGACTTAATAAATGACTTTGTAAACTATGATCTAAGTACAGCTTTGGGGCTACCTGATTTCATGAATGTGAATAAAATTTCTCTTTGTCATGTGGATATGATCTGACCAAACAGAAGTATTTCTTCATGTGGAAAAAATAATGCGTATTTTTAAAATGAACAACACCACTTTTTTTTTTTTCTTTTTCAGTTATGTTGGAGTTCCCCTTGACATCACGTTGGCGGGCTGCTTTAGGTATATATGCATGATACCCAAATATATTATACACATATGTTTATGTATCATGTTCAACATAAATACTTATATATAAAGTGGGGTCATCAAAATATTTTTTATGTGGGTCAGGTAATTGGACTAGAAGACTGCTCAAAGGGTTCATCACTCTAAAACTGCATGGAATAAAACACTGGATATATATTTGTGACATATTCTTTTGGTTCTCTTTCAACATGAATGGCATTACTATTTTTATAGTAGCATTATTTCATTTACTTTTTTCTTCCCACAAATGGAACAACTGAATTCATCAATTTTACATCTAGTAAGAAAACTAACCCAGTTAAAGTGGACTTTTCTAGAGCTTTTTCTTTAGCTTAAGCTAGGTATTGACTACAAATATTTTTACATTTCCCCTTTTCAGTAAATTTGGCAATAATTTTTATTTAAGTATTGTCATGCTTAATGATGAGAAATGGAAATGCAGCATTTCACCACATTGTTTTCCCCAAAGCCAAATTATCTGTTTATAGTATCAGTATTATTTATATTACCATTAGCTCCCTTCATTACAGGTTAATTTTCCACTTCCCTTACATATCCGTAAGTCTTAGTGTGTACTCTTTTCTAATATTGTTTGGTTCATACAGAAAACACATGTAGAAAGTACTGATATTTTATTTTGAATGACACTTTTCAAAAATGCACATTTTTAATGAATCAGAAAGAAGATACCTGAAAGACGTGCTATCAGTATAAGTAGAAATGATCTTTTCTTTCTATGAAAAACAGCAACTTGGGCGCCTGGGTGGCTCAGTTGGTTAAGCGACTGCCTTCGGCTCAGGTCATGATCCTGGAGTCCCAGGATCGAGTCCCGCATTGGGCTCCCTGCTCGGCAGGGAGTCTGCTTCTCCCTCGGACCCTCCCCCCTCTCATGCTCTCTCTATCTCATTCTCTCTCAAATGAATAAATAAAATCTTTAAAAAAAAAAAAAAAAGAAAAACAACTTATCCCTTGGATTTTCTTCACAATACCACAAAATTTACTAAGCCCTAGGCAATTGAGTCACATAGCCCATGCCACCTCGATGACAAGGAGAGTCAGGGTTGGCATCCTGGAATGGCCAAAAGAATTTGCTAAAATAGTTGAGTCACTATTTCAATTTCAAGAACTAGGGTTGGATTACACAGAGAACGGTTGCCAAATGATGTTTGAGGTAACCTTCTTTGATTTTTCTTTGAGTTAAAAAACTTAGACACAAAATAATAGTGGCTAAACATCTTGGAAATTCTATCTCATGGTTTCGCACTGGTTGTGCGTCTTTGTGTGAGGAAGTTGTGCGGTCCTGCCAAGACTCTGATCCACTAAGGGCTCTTACCTCAGGGACTTTTACCTTTCATGAGAGTTACACTGTTATCGTCATACAAGGAATAACAGATTTATGAAAGCCCTGTTAGGCTAGATTAACATTTTAAAACGAACAAGAATCTTGGGCCAATGAAAGAGCTAAAGGCATTTTCATATAACCAAATAGCTCAGGTAGGTAGACTTCTGTTTTCAAAATCTTTTCTACACTAAAAAATATTTTCCAAGTTAGAGGAGAGCATATCTTCCTTTTATAATTAGAGAGAAAATACCTTATAAAATATTTTTAAATAACAACAACACAAAACAAATGGCAGGTCTGAAGAGCTAAAAGAATTGAGAATTGTAAAATCCTTGGCATGTGCTTTGACTCCATTGCCTTTGAATTTCTGAGTTTTAAGAGCTCCTTACTATTAATTTGACAGAACCATGCATCTATTCCCTGAAGGAAGTTTTGAATTTCAACAATTTATCAGCACAGAATATATACCTACTGTCTCTTAGCTGAATCTATAAACTATCCTATTTCAAATGCTGTGTCAGTTTCAGGAACATTATTTTAGTCGTGACAATTGTTCTTACTCATAATCTCACCAATGAATTATTCATTATTGGTAGTTAACCAAAACTTCCCTTTCATTACTTGCAGGATCCGGCTTAATTTCAATGATATGTGGAGGCCAGGCTTTCGCATACTGTTTGTTCAAAGACAACTTTATCTATCCAGATCTGGATGAGTTTTAACAGAACAGCTGAATTAATTTGCCTCAGACTTTCTATATTATTATATACATTGTGTCACAGCTAAATTGTATTTCTTTGTTCACACCGATATTCAAGGTTGAATTTAATCTAGATACTTTATAACCATAAAAAGAAAACGAGGTGCTAGTGGAGAGCAGAAGAATCCTAGGAAGGTATTCATGAACAAAATGTTGCCAACTCATAAAATGCATTGTTTACCAAAGTGTATTTGATAGAATGCTAGTTCTGTAGCATGTGAGTAGTACCACACAAGGAAAAAAGGTTGCATGTTTAAGTATATTTGTGGATTCCTGGGTTTATGTAAAACAGACGTTTATTTTAGGACCTCTCAGAACCTTTAACGTACTACTGTGAACAGGGCATCTCAAAGCAGCAGTACAAATTATGCACCATTTTGCAGCTGTATTTGGCCCAGGGACACACTTTAGAATATGCTGATGTATCATGTGGAAAGCATAACATAGGTGAGAGCGGAGTTAAAACTGTTACAAATCTCTACAAGCAGAATTAGATTCTATTACTGTTCCATAGTGTTGTTTCTTGTAAAATTATTGCCTTTTTAAAAATATTAGTGTCCATTTCCTTCCTTAGACTATGTTCTTCTAACATAGTGCTTCTCAAAATTTAGTATGCATTTTGAATCACCTGGAAAACTTGTTACAAGGCAGATTTTGCTTTAGAGGGGCTGGGATGAAGCCAAAGATTCTGTATGTCTTTTTTTTTTTTTTTTTTGAGATTTATTTATTTATTTTAGAAAGAGAGAGACAGAGCACAGGGCGAGGGGCAGAGGAAAAGGGAGAGAATCCTCAAGGCAACTCCTCACTAAGCATGGAGTCCAGTGCGGGGCTGAATCCCAGGATGCTGAGATCATGACCTGAGCCAAAACCAAGAGCTGGGCGCGTAACTGACTGAGCCACCCAGGTGCCCCTAAAATTCTGTATATCTAAAAATTCCTGGAAAATGCCTGTCTGGTCCATGAACCACAGTTTGAGTAACAAGGTCTAAGTGGTTGGGACCAGATATTTTTTAAGGTTATATAGCTCTGTACTGCCAGTCCTATGTTTATTCAATAAATGTTTGTTGAATTAGATTAAAACTGAGGCGAGTTACACCTCCATAATTGTCTTAAATATTTACCACTTTTAAATGTAGTTAAAATACCTTTTAATATAAAAGAAGTGCATACCAAGGTTACAACTAAAATATAAATATAGGAAAAAGGATAGGAAAGTAACATACACCACTTCCCCTCCATCCGTATATTCCCACACACAAACATTTTTGGGAAACAATTAGAAACTAAATTAAACCAGCTCTGGAATTTTTTCCTAGATGACTCTTTTTACTCTAAAAATCTCTTTCTTTTGGGGTGCCTGGCTGGCTCATTCAGTGGAGCATGTGACTCTTGATCTTGAGGGTGTGGGTTCGAGCCCCATGTTGGGTGTAAGAATTACTTAAAAACAAAATCTTAAAAAAAAAATCTATGTTTTCCATAAAGATTTGCATCCAACCACTAAGAAATGTCATGCTAATTATATGTATTTCAGGTAACCTTCCAAAAACTACTTTGTGTTGACCAGTTACTAGTTAGATAATTCAAACTTCTCATGCACATGTAAGTTTGAAAATAATGATACTCTCTTCCTTGCTTCTTTCTCACATGTACTTATTTCCACAAACTTTTGTCTTCCACCCATTATTCTCAATTTTCCCATTACTTTCCTCCAAAATATTTAGTCATGGAAGTAGCAAAATATGTAACTCACTAAATCAGTCAAAGGATTGTAAATTCCTATTATTTTTTTTTTTAAAGATTTTATTTATTTATTTGACAGAGAGAGACACAGCGAGAGAGGGAACACAAGCAGGGGGAGTGGGAGAGGGAGAAGCAGGCTTCCCGCTGAGCAGGGAGCCCGATGCGGAGCTCGATCCCAGGACCCTGGGATCATGACCTGAGCCGAAGGCAGACGCTCAACGACTGAGCCACCCAGGCGCCCCATAAATTCCTATTATTAATAAAGACTTTGTGTCATCTTTAAAGGAAGGCAGCATAGGACAGCTATGAACAGGTCAGCATTATGATCTTTGATTCTCTAATTAAAACCCCACTGACAGCATACAGAAAAGAGTGTCTTGTTAGATATATAACAAAACTCAATCCTGCTGTATGAAAAATACAAATATCAAACAAATCACTGATGAGAAACTTTGACCCTATAGAAACTCACACATGGAAGAGATTTACAGAAACATTAAAACTGCCTAAATAAATTTGATAATTAAAAAAAGATTTGGTTGATTAAGTACTTTTTAATATACTGAGAATTAAGTTACACTAGTAAATTAGAATAACAATTTCTCCAGACTCAGAAGACCATAATATCTTGTCATTCTGTAGTGTAGCTTAATTAGCATGTTTATTTCTAGGATTAGGAATCCATCTGCTCAGGTAATTACTATTGTGTGAATCCTTCTCTTTATTTTTTTTTCTCCTGATCACAAGAATAATCTGTGATTTTCTTCTCTTACTCATTAAAGTGATTATCATTATCTATTTGATGACACCACTTGGCACACAAAAATTAAAAATACAATTAGAGTACATATTTTAGCTTAAATATATTGTAAATCAAACATAGCAAATAATAATCACTTTAGCTTTTATTGCTTTGAACTGTATATTAACTCAAAGACCAAGAGTCATGCCCACTTAACATACTTTTCCGGTGTCCCTCACAGAATCATAAGAAGATGAAATCCTACCCAGTATTTTGATGCATATTTTTGAGGCAGGACTGAATTTACTTACATATTTTTTTAAAAGGTAATACTTTTATGTCATGCATAACCTTCCATTAATATCCCTTCCATTACTATACCATTGTGGTATAATGTAAATCAA